ACGTGATGCTCTATCACATGTGCTATTTAAAAAAAAATCGATAAATTTGACAGAAATCAACTTTTTTGGGTGGGGGGTGGGCCTTAAACATCTTAAAAGCAGCCGGTCCAATCAGGTTCAAGGATTATCTTTTTTATTTCATTAAATGATAAACAGTTATTGTAGAGCTTGTCCTTAAAGAAGCGTAATATCAATGCTTTTTATTTTTCCTGACGTGTTAACCTTAATTTAGCTCTTACTTGACCAAAATTTTACTTCAGAAACAAACATATTTGTTTCTAAAGTTTGTGATACTCACTAACCGAGTAATGACATCGAATATAAATATTTTATTTTTAATTTCTTGAAAACTCTGTTTAACTGCTCTAGTTTAATTCACTTTTCACGACATATTTTCAGTTAATATGTTACCATAATATTGTCAATCACTTTAGAATTAACGCAATGGTTCATACTATGAAGTATGTGTACGGAGTACATATTTAACTATATCTGAATATAGTTTTGTCTATTTTTGTAATATAATATTTATGGTCGATATAGAATGGATTCCCATTTTCTTCAAATAACAAGAGACGAAAGAGAGAAAGACTAGGGTATCAGTTAGTACTTGAATAGTCCTTCATACGTATATCCGTACCAGATCAATATCATTCGTTGTTGAAATAATCTTCTTCACTGTATAAATTTTTTGTAGATTTTTCTATCAAATTTTAATTGAAATAATATATTTCAGATTTTCCTTAACACAATAAACTGGATCGGTATTTATCAATTGTACATATTTTGTTCTATTAGAAAACATGAAAACTGTATTTTATTTACATTAGAAAAATCTGCATTGAGATTCTTAGAAGTTTTTAATCGACCGATAATATTCAAACGATTGAGTTTACCACAATTGGCTAGCATTTCATTTCTTGTAAAATTGTCTGTTCCTTTTCTCAATTGATAAGAATCGATAGTAAGAAATATATTATTTGTGAAAGATGTTTTCGTTTCATCTAAAAATTGTTCGACATAATCAACATTAACATCAAGTAGATTCAATTCAGTAAGATGATGATATTCAATAATTGAACAATTTTTATTATCATTTTTTGATTGTTGACGTTGTTTGTATTCTTGTGGTTTGAAATTAGATAAAGTTAAGTTTTTCATAAATGGTAATGATTAAGAAATTCGAAGAAAAAATTCATGTTCAAAAGGTCCTGCTTGTGAATGTATTTTGAATTTGTTCATTTGTCAATAAATGAATATCATTATTAAGATAAACAATGGACCAAATGTTAAATACAAATTCATTTAATCGAGGTAAATGACTGATAATATTTTGTTTCAATTCATTTCTATCAATAAACTTTTTATAATTACCAACTACAACGTACAAGACAAGTTTTTTCAAGTTTGTCATTCGATGTAAAAGTGGCAAAACCGATTGATCATAAAAACATATGTTTGTCTTGCATGTCAATGAAAAACGCGTTAGATTACACAATTTTTCCTATAAAAAATAAATCCATAGATAATAAAAATTGATAGAACGAAATTTTTCATTGCAAAAAATGATATATAATTATCTTATTCTCGTAAAGTAACTTACGTTATTATTGATCATTGACTGTGGAATTGAAATTCAATCAATTATCACAATTAACATATGAATGTGATTGAAACGACCATCGAGCAAATAAAGACAATCGTCGAATGATAGCACATAGACATGGAATTCCATTAGACTTGAAGAAAAGAAAGTTGGACAATGATCATTGAATGATAATTGGAAAACAGAGAAGTCTGAAGGTGAATACAATTTCAAACAACATGTATTGCTAAACACACTTAAGACACGTGTGAAAACACTTATTTGCTCTTCATCTGTGCAGTATTTTTTTTTATTGTCAGAAAGTGCAATAACCAATCTTGTTATTTGATTTTTGAATATGTCAGTTAAACGATTTTCCTCTAAACATAAATACGTATATAAAACCTCTAAGAGAAAAAATAATTATATTTATGGTTAATTTGATAAAACCTTTTTTTTAGTTTTCTTTTCTTTTTAATTAGTTTTAAAACATATTTGAGTATTCCTTCTTCTCTTTTACATCATATTTGAAAATATGAGATTGAAAACAAGAAATTTTTTGGTTCAATCTTCCTAGTTAAAGGAATATTCATATTCACTTTGTATATCAACTGTATTTTCTTGTTTCTCACGTTGTGTGTCAATATATCTTTTGCTTGTTTTATTCTTCTTCATATTCATAAATATGACATCAATAAGATACAAGGCTAGTTTCAACTAAATCTGTAAAGATTCAGATAATCCTATTGATAATTAAATAAATCAATCGTGACTATTTATATATTCATGTATCGATAATTGAAACTGAAGTTGAATTTTTTACCAGTAAAAAAGCGTTGAGCTATCTCGTTGCTAATGTTGAAAATAACAAATCCATTTAAATTAGGATATTTGACAGCAAGAAGAATATGTTCCATAGATGACGATTCAATATCAAGCCATTTAACATTATGATGAATTTGAGATATTATTTATATACAAAATCGATCAAGTATTGTATCAGCTAGTGGATCGATAAGATTATCAAATGACCATCTTAATAATGTTAAACGGCTAGTAAAGGTTGAATCACGTACAATTCTATTGAATCGCATATTAACATCCATTAAAGAGTCAAGTGTAGTTGCATATTATTTAATTTTTTAAATATCATAATTAGCAACTCATCAGGTAAATCAGTTATTTGAATATATGACTGTTCCATATTTATATTCATCTATCAATTCTGTTCAACTTATATAAACGATCATTTATATAGATGTTCACTTGCTCTTCTTGGAACCGCTGACGTTGACAAAAATAATAATGCATTTTTTCTATGTAATAAGTTGATGATAACTCAATGAACAACGGACTTGAATAGAAACATTTTTACTTTAATCATAGCATTCTCACCCTCACGTAGTGTCGTGCATGTAAATCGCACTAATCAGCGTAAAGATGTGATTAAAGTAAAAAGGTTCCCATTTTGTTGTCTTATCGAAAAATCTATTTGTTTATTTGTATCAATTTGAATGAGTAATAAAGTGTACGTTGGTTGCGTCCTCTTTCGATCAATTTTATTGCTTTCTTTACTGAGGTTTCTTTTTTTCTCATTTCTATTGGTATTCTTGTTCTTCTATACAATTCTAGGCATATAACTTCTTGTTTTTTTAATGAAGTAAAAGTTTAATTTTTTGGAAGTGAACAAAGTTAAAATGTAGCTATTCAATATTGTCACAGAGATATTCAAGACGCCTGAAAATGTGCTGTTGCCCTGATGGTATTCAAAACCAAAATATTTCGAATTTCACTGCTTTATGATTTTATTGAACTAGAGCTGTTACTACTAATCCATAAGATTCATCGAGTCTTGAATTATTACATTTGTGGACACCTAAATCTCGTACGAATTGATGTGGCCTTGCATCATCATTAAGAAAAACCGGATGCATGACTACGATGCACATCTCTATGTTGCCATCAAAACGAACAATTACAGCAGAATTTATCTGGCGATGATTATTAAATATGTATAACGAAGAAGAAAAAGATTAAGATGACAAATTTGTTTGATTGGTTGCTGGTTTTTAATCAAATAGTAAAATCTCTAGTCGTCGTGCATTTCTGCTCAAGTAAAATGTTCGATACTTGTTGCTCAAATAGTTTTCTGTGCGTGTCCGATTAAGAAGTAATGGCGTTTATATTTGTCGTATATTTAACCTATGTATTTGTTTTAGAATTTTAATTAGATAAAAAATTAAATACTTGTTTATTTTTATAGATTATATAATAAAAACTTCCATTAACACAATTTGCTTTGGAAAATAAAAATTTATATCACAGACGGATTGGAGATGGACAGATAAAGTCAAAGAAAAGTTGATCTGTTTGAATCTCTGTTATATAAAGTCTGAATAATCATTTGTGTTGATGCATCTCTAATATTGTTATATATTTTCAATAGATTTGAACGTTGAATAGTTTATCCAATAGACTCATTATTTTTCTTCACATTGAATGCTTCAGTTCGGCTAGCTTCACAGTGGTATCAATAGATTATATATTTTATGCAAGGTTATAGAACGATTCAAATGATTACTTATTGATACTCATTATTTTTTGTTGTTGTTATTTTGAATAATCGACTTTAATCGTATTCAATGGTAATAGAATTCGGAGTTACATTTTATTGTAATCGAATAATACGAATTTAAATTCAGTGATGGTTTCTATATTTCAATCAGCTATTCGAAATTCAACTAAATTTTTTAATTTAATTATTAAAAATTCTTCATAAGATTTAAGTCCTACATTAATATTATCTGTTTTGTTGAAATGAATTTTTCATAGTTGATTTAACATTTGTAATATTGAAATGCCTGTCAATAGGAAATTATTTTTAATAAATGTCGAAAACTCTTTTCTAAGACATATCCAAGTACTTTATCTTAATTTCGTTGAACTCTATAAGTAATTTCAATATTATAAATAAACATGGGAAATCTGAGCATAATCTTCATGAAAGAAAAAAAAAAATGTTTCTTGATGTTTAATGTATTCTAGGATAAAATGATGAAATATTTGTCATATGATAAAATCTAGAAAGATTTTACATATTATTTTGCTATCTAAATGTTGATTATTTCATCTGACATGATGTAATTGAAATATAAATTTGAAAACAAAAAAATATTTTGATTATAGTCACATAAATTATCAGTCATTAATGAAAATTCTTGATAAAAATAGTCAATTTCTTTATTAGGAGAATCAAATTAATCTAAGAACTTCTTATCATATTTTTCAGTCTACTATTCTCAATGATTTCATTAATAATTCACTTTTTCTTTTACAAAGACAAAAATGAATAGTTGAGTCATATTATTTTTCAATTTATATTTTTAACAGGAATTGATTCAAAGTCATTTTTAATATTAAAAACATTCAGTAAAATTGTTGTTAATAAAAATTGTAGATAATCGTTATTGATACTAGTTGATAAGAGGCTATTCATAGAAATCAATTGGTTTTTATTGAGACAAATAATTTTTATATGATTATTTTTCATTCGTTTGGAAACGTTATTGAAATTTTTAAGTATTTCGAATAAAACAGTAAAATGAAAAAAAAAATTTTTTATGCGCCATCAAAATATATGTATACCGTTCATAATTATTTTCATGTTCGAATTTTTTATTTAATTCATTTTTGATAGATATAATCATCTTATTTCAATTTCGTTTAGATTGTTAAACACGAATAAGAGTTTCTATTCATCTTTTTATCAAAGAAGAAATTTCGATCGAATAAGACTTGCTTTCTTATGAATATTCATATCACTGGTTAATAGTTTATCTTTCTTTTTACTTTTGTTTGCAAGCAGTTTTTTTTTAGACACATTATAATTCCATCGCCATCACTTATATGTTATTGTCAATCATATTGAATGTTGACAGTACTTTTTTTTTTACTTTTTCTTGCTTGGTAATGTTGGAAAAAATTCTTTGATTGCATGACAAACATTAACAAAGCATATGACGAAAACAAAAAACATCAAATGTGTAAAGAAAAATTTTTTTTAATAGAAGAAGAATTTTTCATAATTAAGATAATGCATGCATGGATATTTATTCAAAAAAAAACTCTATTACTTTGTTTATATCTTATCCTTCCATTGTTTGATAGAAACAAAAAAAGAAAATTCATATTATCTCATGTCACAAGCTTTTTGAAAAATGCATTCTACTCTATGACGAAGATATGAAGAATGAAGAAGAGATTCTTTAAGGTTATTAAAATATGAATGGAAATAATTAGATCTATTTATTTATTTGTTTAGTTATTAGAGAAAATGAATATTTCTCTAATTTTCGTTCAACATGTATACAAATATTTGAATTCGATTTACTTGAAATAAAATAATTGCTTAATGAATGATTCTTTAATTTATAAAATATGATATACATCTATCTTATTAACAAAATCTGCAAAAGTTCGATGGTTATTCGTTTGGAATAATGACTTATTTAATATTTGATCAAGATATCCCAGCCAAAATTCAATAATGACAAAATCTTTTTTTACGAATATAAAA